ATTTTAAAATCGTCCGAATCGTTAACCAATTGATTAGGTTACTTATATTTTCTTTTAGAAAAAGCGTAGTTTTGTTTTTTCCTGGATATTACTCAAATGAAAACCGTTAACGTTAAATAGAAATATTTATACGCGTATTCGGCCCTTTCGTGGTTTTTTTTTTTAACGTTGAGGTTAAAATGTATGGTCCGAAATTTATTTTTTTTTTGTATTTTTTACGTAGATTTCAATTATAATGTTTTTAGGAACTTAAGTTTTTAACAATAAAACGAGTTCAGCGATGCGGCTGCGTCGTATCCGTAGAAATCTAATACGTCTGCTCAGCTACTAGTTATATTAGAAGTCATAATAATTAAAAAATATATATATATTTTTTATATATACTTCTTTGTAAAACTTATACGTAGTGTTGAAAATGACGAAAAATTTCCGAGAAAATATGAAAAACAAAATCCAAGGGGAGTAATAATTTATAATAAACAACGAAAACGTTTATATAGGAAACGTGAGGTGTTTTTTGTCAATTAACCTGATAATAGTCATTATCGGCTATGGTTATATGATTTTGGTTAATGGTTATAGATTCACGAAAACGACATGTTTATAGTTATTACAAATAATATTAATTGATAAAAACTGGTTGGATATTATCTAATCATTACTTTATCAATAACCATTCTTATTTTTTATAACAATATTATACATATGTTTATTATGTATAGTTATTGTTACGATAATGTACTCGTATGCGTTGTTATATATTTTTCCCCCTTCAAATTTTCCTGTTTTTTTGGAAAAAAAACCGTTTTTAGATTTCGAGTTTACCGAAGAATGTATTGGTTTTACAAATATGTTTATAGATATATATTTTATTATTATTACTATTTTTTTTTTTTATGTGAAGAATTTTTCTACCAGAAACCTTACTCCGATTATCAAGTATAGCACTTTTTCTGAAAAGACGTTTTCTCTGGGCGGTACATTAAAGAGATGATTTTTTGAAATTCTCATTAATATTCGAGATAATGAGGAAAACCTGGTTCTTTAGGTTAAAAAAGATTGAATGGTTAATCATTTGTCATTGGCAACCGTCTTTGTTTATTTATTTTTCTATTAGCCACTAGTATATAACTCAACAATTGTAATATATGAAATAATTACAATGGTAATAAAATAAAACAATAAATACAAAAAATAATACAGCAATACGATTTATAACACAATATTGACTATATAATGAAGCCGGCTTTCAAAATAAAATTAATCACAAGTTTGATAACAAATACAGTTTTAGTGTTCAAAATGGTGGCGAGGTTGAGAGGGATGTTATTTTTTTTTTTTTGTTATTATTGAGTTTTTATTGTTTTAATGTTTTTTAAACAATCATTGTTTTCGCGGAAACGCAAATTGTCGTAATCATTTTACCGTAAGGTGATGTCAACAAGGCAACACTATCAACTGAACTCCGCTCAGAATCGTTGGCGTTCGTTCGTTTATAGTCGCTTACAGACGTACGTTGGATTCCCGTCCGTATCCTACCCTCCCCGACTTCCCACCGACAAAAGGGGCCGCACCCACGTGCAAACTACGCGCGTCCTTTTTTTTCTCGAGTTTTTTTTTCCCCCCGGTTCCCGATTTTCCCGGAAATCCTCAATCTCCGCTCGTCCGTTCGTTTCGACCGATTCGGCCGATATCTTCGCTTGTCGCACTGATATCATCGTCGCGATATTGCGGGTACGGTTTGTCGCGAAATAACATCGGACGCGTGTTTGCGTACGGACGGCCGCGCGGCGTACGAATAGTTAATGCAAATCCAGGTCGTAGGCACACGCGAATAACAATAATAGAACCGATGAGATTATAATATGCCCGCGTTAAATAGACCAGAACTAAACCGCGAGTGAATCGAAAATACTCTCCTCGCATAGTACATACGTACCCGGGCACGACTACGGCCGGCGGAGCGGTTCTTTGATTATAATAATGATTTTCACTATCGTTTTTTTTTTTTTTTCCAATTGGAAACGGCCAGAATGAGCCTAATGGGAAAATCGTTTGAAAAATATTTGCAAAATTAGACGGTTATTTCTTTTGATTTGACGGTTATTATCACGTTTAAACGGTTCTTATAGGTAGTTAATATAATATTTACAATGCTAATTTGGACAACAATCAAATATTTAGGTACATAATCTAATTTTTCATTCATATCTTTCTGACGGAACGTTCTATTGCGCTTTGTAAATTTTGTTAAATCTATATTTTGTTGAACTCAAATTTGGGACGAAAGTTCTAAAAATAAAAAAAAATATCTACGGCTTAATCTTTGACAGTCGAACCAATAAGAAATAGGGAAAATATTACGTGATGACCAACTCCAAATTCAGTTATAAAAAGTCCGGTATTATAGTAAAAACTATATCGCTAAAATAATGCTGTTGTGAGTGGGCCAACTTTTTTAGGCGATTATCTTTAATTAGGCAGGTGATTTAAGAAAAGGGCCCTTTAAGGGATATGTCTTTAGAAAGTCTAAAGATTGTGGTGGGATGATTGTGGAAAGAAGGACATAAAAGAACAGTAAGGCTGTAAAGCTAGAAAAAACAGAAGTAAACGACAACATTTACACCTAGTAATATTACGGCCTTTCTGTAGACATAGACGGATGAAGATCTGGATGTATGATGGGACGGTGTCCAATAGCGGCCGCTTTTGTACTCCGAAGAAGAAAACAATTGATTTTCAATAAGCACTATGTATCTTATGCATAAAATTGAAATTCTGTTTGTCTGTCTGACAGATATACAAATCTACCATTTTATTCCGAAATTTAATCCCTTAATAATGGCTCACGTGTGATTTTTAATATTTTTTTATATGAAAAATATACGGTTTTTCGGTTGATTTCTGAATTAATTTGGTGGCACGGATGGACTATCAAATAGTTATTATTTAATTTGGTTGTGACAAACGAGGAATTATCATTTTGATAAGATAAATGCCCGACAAATAACGGTTAACCGTGATAGAGATAACGTTGAACCTGAGAAATACCGGTCGGTTTGTCTTCAATACTACATTTTTGAAATAAATTCTTTGATCGACAATCATTTCCATCTTATATATGTTGTTTAAATAACCTATGCTATGCAATTTACAGAGATTACACCGACGCTCATAATAATTTACTGTTTCATCCATGTGAGAATGCAATCTAAGAGGCTTTTATAGACGAACTAATTTATTTAAATCGCATGTCACGTTTGAAATGACGAGATCGTTACAAATTAGATGCGGTGCAAACTCACACGTATTATTATACAAACGAATTAAATTTATATTTATATAAAGATTAACTGCGCTTTCGTGAGACGCATTAACGCGAACAATTTAACGTTTTGTTTGCTTAATAGCTGCACACGTATCTATATAAACATGATATTATTATTCGAGTTATTCTTCTACTTAAAATTAGTTGGACCTAATTCCAAATAGGCGTTCGGCCATATGACTAAACAAGTTATTTGTAATATAACTATTCCGTTAGTACTATATTAAGAATTACGAATATAAATAATGTTAAAAAAAACCCGGATATACTATGTACTCTTTGTTGTATAGGCGGAAAGTGGGAAAGTCATAGGATCCAGGGTGGTTAGTTGGTTCGTTCAGTGAAACGGGAAATCATTGCGATCGAATACGGATCTCGAGTGGAACTTGGTAAAATGATAATAAGATTTAGTAATTTTACTGGTGAATATCTATTAGTGAGGTTTGTTTTCCCTGCGCAAACAAGAAATCAAAAATTAATAAAATCGATTTAATATAATTTATTGTTGTATTTTTTTTTTTTTCAAATTTTAGAAAAACCATCGTGTAGCGTTTATTACTTATTTACTTAATTTACTTGTAGCATTTTTACTTACCAAAAAATTAAATAAACACGTTTAAATATTAAATTAATTGCTTCTTCGATACACTCAGAATATTAAAAACAAAAAAAAAATAAATAAATAAATAACACCACGATAAATGATGTGTGTCTATTGCCTATAATATTGTATTACATATGATAAATGGTTGCATTGAACATCGCTTATGAAGAAATTTTACATAAATCGGTTCACAATATTTCGATCATTTCTAAAGTCGAACTTTTTAGCCTCCAATATACATTGTGAAATATAATTTTGTAATTACATAGAGTTATAGTATAATACAGGTGAATCCCTTCCAATCAAATTAGCAGTACTCTCGAAGGATTTTATAATATATAGTTTTGATATTAAAATTAGAACTCCCTCTTTCAAACACACATTAGAATAAGGAATGATTTTCTAAAAACGTTGATATGTATAACAATAATATCGGATTTACCTTTAATTAATTATAATATTTTAACATTTAAACCGGAGGAGAAGGGAAGTGTAATTTACATATTTTATAATTATATTTGTATGATTAATTGATAACTTCCGTCTTCTTCCGGTCTAAACTTTGAACTGAAACGGTAAATATTATTGGATATTAAACTATTCTCTAATTGAATCTATGTTTAAAATGGGAGGCGGTTCTATTTGAAAATTCAAAGGGCGTACTTGTTTCGCGTATAAAATAGTAGTGGTATAAATTCAAAACGATGTTAAAAGAAAATGATATAATAATTCAAAAACGATTGAAGAAACGGAAATCAAATTCACTTAAAATCCTCTGAGAAAATCGCGGTTTCGTGTGTCTGAGACACAATTGTCTTTTACGATTTAGTGGCAGGAGAATGCTGAATATCAAAATAATTAATAACATCAGCGTCCGTTCACTATTGATTTAGTAAAAACAGGGTGAACATATTATTGTATAGTATTGGGAACATTGAGAAATATCGGCGAGCAGACATTTTATTGCATCAGTGTAAATTATAGGTTACATCTGGGTTATTTCAGATTAATTTCACCACCGCGTGTACTCACATAAGCTTACGTATCTGTGCTCGGCGAAACGCCCGGTCAGTGGTGTCCCTTGAGGCCGAGACCCACGGCGAACAACGCGAAAAAGAATCCGGCGAACCCGGTAGTGGCCACGATCAGCACAAGTCCGCCCAACATCAGCGGCACGAGCGTGAAAAACTTGAGCTTGTACGCCAACAACAGCGGCAACATGAACTTTTTCAGTTTCTTGAAATCCTTTACCTTGAACGGCTTGTGCTTTTTGCCTTTCTTTTTCCGCCTGCGCTTCTTCTTCACGATCGACGGTTTCTCGTCGCCGTAATCTGAGCGTAGGGAAAATAACGAAATAAAACAAATTTGTTAATTATCGATCTGTTAACATTTAACAACCTATACGCATGTATCACAAACAAAAGTAACGATTGTTTGAAAACCCCCGCCGGCGAACAATATCCGAACGCAAAACTAATCCGATTTTGATATCGATCCGAAAATCATCGGACCGCGCATTTCTCCGAGAGAGCATACCTACCTACCTATTATAATATTAGTATTGTTATTATTTTATTCCGCGATAATTGTTTCGCGTTCAAGATGGAATTTCGATATTCACCGCCGCGAAACTGTGCGACGTCACGCCCGCGATGATTTCCCGAATCTAAAATGGTACACCGCGGTTTGTGCCCGTAAGAAGCCGACGACGTACCCACGCGAATTCGCATTGTGGAAGACGGTTTTAGAAAGTCGGACCGCTGCCGTCGACTTGCGAGTCGATTTGTCGTTTTTTTTTTTTTTTTTTTTTTTTTCCCCGTTCCCTCGATACACACGATACCTACAAATTCGCAACGAAAACGTTCGCGTCGTCGTGGTTTCGATATAAAAACACCTACGTCCGATCCGCGAAAAAACCCGACTCGGGGACGTGTCCGGACTTGTGACCCGTCGGACGGCCGAACGGCCTCGTATACGGACTTTGGACGGCGCAGTTTTATAAAAGTCGCGCGCCCTCGTGATGAAAACACAGAACGCACCGACCGTTGTACCGACGCGTACGGATTCGCGTACCAGTCCCGAGGGATTCGAAAATCGCGTCCCGAGTCGAATTGTTGAAAATAATTGTTGTTTTTTTTTTTTTTTTCAGAGGTTTCCAGCGGTTTCCGAACCGATTTTCTAAATGAAATTTTCGACCCACTTGCCGCGAAAGTTCGTACCGACAAACAATATTATAATCTTGTACGAACGGACGTAAATGCGTTCAATACGGACAAGAAGCGACTGCAGGGCGCGCGCGTTACGCGTATTGTCGTACGTTTAATCGTTGAAAACACGTCGAACCGCTCGGCGAATGTCACTTCGGGCGTGCACCCGAACTGCACGGCGAAAAGGCGACGGCGAGTCCGGGACGCGATATTCAACAAAGAAAAAACAAACGAAAATCACGTTCGCTCGTGCGATACGATACGAGCCGATTAACGCGCGCCCCTGTAATAATAACAATACGGTTTTCGGGGAATCAACGCCGCGGCAAAGGCCGACGCTGCCGGATCGGTGTGCGACATTTCGGGTATTGGCTAGGACGCGGGCACGCGGCAATATCACAACCGTTACGTTTCGTGAAGCCGAGCGCGATAATTGCGATTTCAATAACAGCTTTCGTCGGGTTATCGAAAGTAAACACGCCGCCGAACGTTTTTTCGCATCAGATGCGATTTGTCGGATGAGCGACCCGGGCGACGAGTCATCCGTAACGCGACGAATCGGTCTTTTGCTTGCGATGACGACGTCGGTTGATACGTGCGGCGGCGTGTAGAAAACTTGAGGCGCGCTTGTCGCGGCGTCCGCGCCCGCGGTAATGGCCGTAACCGCGGTATGACCAATCACGACGAAAATCTAAAACCCGGCGTCGCGTCGGGTTCTCAATGCTTACGCTCCGGGGGCGCATTATTTGCGTACACGCGCTACGGGCACGTGCCCGCACCTGTCAATTAACATTAACGTCTTTGCCTGGCTGTTGTGTTTCCCTGTCCATCCTCACCCCCCCGCCCCTCACGGCTGGAACCGGATTTCTCACATAACGTGCTTGTGTGTAACGGGTGATGGTAGCGGAACATTTTTCTTTAAACGAATCTCGTTCTATTATTGTAATAATATAAGAGCGGCGGCGTTTTTCAAGTGTCTCGGAGCGTCGAGGTTTTAAAATACGCCCCGGCTTATACCACGCGGTGATTGTACGCGTTCGATTATTCGCCGGTGTCTAAACGAATAACATTAATCTATACTCACTGTCGGAGTCGATGTGCTGGACTTCGACGATTTCTTCGATCTCTTCCTCCTCGCCCTTGTCCTCGTGGACGTCGTCGTCGTCGTCTTCGACGTCGTACTCGTCGTCGTCGTCGTCGTCGTCGTCGTCGTCGTCGTCGTCCTCGTACTGCCGAACCCTTTTGGACGTCACTTGCTCCGCACTGTAGGCCGGCCTAAGGGTGGGTTGCCGGGGCGGCGGGAACGTGATTGTGATCACCGGCTTGGACGTGCCGATCAGCTGCTGATACCTGTGCGGTATGTCCCTGCGAACGTCCTGAGCGGTGGAGGACTGCATCATAGACCTGGCCGTGGTCGTGCTGGCCGCGTAGGCAGAATGAACGGGAGGCCCGACGCCGGCACCGTGCCCGGTCATCCTGATTGGCGTGCTCACGGTGACCAGCTGCGAGGACTTGGGAGGCGGCGGATTGGTGACGGATATCTGAGTCCAAGACTTGCCTAGCGCCGTTGGGGCGATCGCCGTGGACGACGGCGGCGGCGGCGGTAGCTGCGGTCTGTCACTGGCAGTCTGAGGGTCGGGGGCCCGCATTATGATGCCAGAAGTCTCGGTGGTGTGAGCGGATTCGCCGGCCGCGTGCTTCTGGACGACCAGGCCGAACTTGGACCAGACGGCCGCGCTGGCGGCGCTTACGGACTGTACGGCTCCGGGACCATCGCCGCCGGTCGCGGCCGCCGACAGCAACAGGAGCGTCAGGTGAAGCAGCGGCGGAGGTGGCGGCACGGACGGTCTTCGCAAGAGCGCCATCGGATCGGCGGCGGTCGTCAACGCGCTGCAGAGGTTCGAGGTATTTGCGTGTCGAACAGCATATTTATACGTCGGTCCGATGTCGGTAAGCACGGCGACGGCGACACGGAGTAGTTAGTAACACGAAGTCGAGTGGCGAGTAGCGTTCTGACACCGGACTGGCCGACGTTTCCGGTGCGGCGCGCCGTCGGCGGAAAATTCTCCCCTCCGCTAGCGCGCGCGCGCGAAGATTCCGCCACCGCGAGCCATTTTGCCGGTCCGACGGTTTTGCTGTATGCTTCAATTAGCCGTAACGTGCTGCCGCCGCCGCCGCCGCGGTCCGTAGACAAAAACACATATCGCGCGGGCGCGGTCCTCCGTCCCGACACCACGACTCGTCCGCGGCCGTACGTCGTATTATTATTTTTCGATGACCGAAATATCGTTTAAAACGTATTATTGCCATTATTTACCGCGGACATTAACCGCGGCGTAGAGCCGGTGCAGTACCCGGCTCGGTTCGGTGGAGCGGCGGACGGGCGTCGGGGTACAGGTGACGGGAGGGGGGGGGGGGGGGGGGGGGGGGGGGGGGGCTGGCTGGGTCATTGTCGGACGATCGACGTTAATTTTCGGCTATTTTCACGGTGGAAATATACACACGGCACGTCAACGACGACGACGCCGTTAATTTCCGACGGGGTGTGCGGTGCCGCTACGCGTCTCCGACGATAATTAAAAAATTCCGGACGAATGTAAAAACGGCAATATTATTATCATTACAGACGCGACAATAATAAGAAAAATAAAACATATTATTTGCTACAATATTATATTATTATCGGCCTCAGGCAGCCTCATCCTCCTCACCTCGCGTCTAAACCAGGGCTCGCCGTCTCGCGCGTACACGCTTTACACGTATTCCCGTGGAATCCGTGTTCATGTACGTTATGAATTCCCATTTTCACTCGGGACCGCTTAGTCTAAACGTGTAGCACTGTCCCAAAGTGTCCAATGGTATAGAAGTGCGTGCTTCCATCTCAAACTTATCGAAATCCTCGAGTTGTCTTGTAACAAATACTTTTCAAGTTTTATTTAAATGCAGATACAAATACATTCGTTCAGGGAATATTTCAAATACATTTGAAATACTTTTGAGAAAAATTATTTAAGCATTAATATAAATACTCGGCATGTATTTAAATACTTCTCAAATACTTTTTTTAATCTGACTTAATAGTTACTTTAATTATGTTTGGAAAATAAATTTTGAAATTTTTAACATAAAATTCAATATTAATTTATTTAAGTACCTATCATTAGAACTTTGTACCGCCTACTTCATTTTATACTGAAAAATGAACATAAACAAAATGTGGTATATGTAAATTCTGAAATAATTTAATACCATGCATGAATTAAACAAATTTCGTTTAATTTTAACGAATTAGGAATTATAAACTTATCATATCATAATAATTTCCAAAGTTTTGTATTGCACTTAAGAATGGATGGATTTTTCAAAGTGGTTACATAAAAATACTTGATGTAAGCCTTCCGTGGTAGTTTAATTTCTGTCTCATTCGTCACTACACTGTCAATTTGTGTTTGTCTAACTTTGTTCAATTTGGTTTGTAACGAGAACCTTATTTTATTGCTTTAAATATTAAATAACAATACGGAATTTTCAATTCTTGAATTATTAGTCACATGGTCAAATGGAAGTATTTGAAATCAAAACAAAAATTTAAAATAATACTTTAAAAATACTTCATACAAAAAATATTTAAAAAATACTTTAATACATTTAATTAAATATTTTTACTCAAATAACTTACAAGACTGTACTCACGGGTACTTTATTGTCCGTAACAGCCAAATTCAATAATAATAACGGAGTTTTTTCACGGGTGTCGCCAAGATAACCAGTAAATCTAAATGAATAAAATAAAATTATCGTTCCAAAAACTCGCAGATTGGCTACACTTTAAGCGTTGAATTTTTCGATAAAAATTAGACGGCGATCTCACTCAAATATCAAGCGCGCAGGGTTTCACCCAGAGCGAGATAAAATTGTACATTCGAATAATTCAAATATTATTATTATTATTATTATTCAATTATTGAAAACCGACATAAATCGAACTTGATTTTATATATCTATGTATCTATAATATAATATATTAACACTGAACAGTTTGTATTATTTTTTGTTGTGTTTAATAATTGGGGGGAGGGTGGAAACTCAGCCGGTACACCTGGTTGCGCCATTGGTATTTTCAATCAGGCCAATCTGGACCGTTGACTTACGACTTTTAAATGTAGTTTTATTTATTTATTGTTTTTTTTTTTTTTTTTTTTTTTTTTTTTTTGTCGAAATATCATTTTATACGCTTATTTTAAACATACGTACACAGTTTGCGCGATCGCCCATTATTCGAAAAAAAAAAAAAAAAAAAAAAAAAAAAAAAAAATCAACCATATTATTTTCGTACACAGCCCCGCGTTTTTCGATAATAATATTCGTGTTCGGTCGTACCATATCCAAGTACCCGTCCGATACGTCATGACATTATTTGGGTCGACCGTCCGTCCGGTTGCCGAACCGTCGCTAACCGTCTCCGGTAACGTCTTCGCGCCGTGACCCGTCTGATTTTTAATTGCCTTTTCAGTCCGTACGGCCGCGACGGCGGCGCGATAATAAGAGTCACGTCGTCGTCGTCGTCCGGGTATACGGTTTGGTTTTCATAATAATATTGTCGTCCACGTTGTCGTTTTCCATTTGAAGACGACTTGTCCACTACGTAGTTGTATTGCACACATTGTTGTCCGGAGTTCGAAAAAAATAATAATTATAATAATAATAAAAGATCACTTTGATTATCTTAGCCGTACTCGATTATTTTTTTTTTTTTTTTTTTGCCGGATTTTGATTGAACATTCTGCTGATTTTCAACTATACGACGTAAATTACATCTCATCAAATATATTACTATATGTCACTTACGACATTGGATAATGTCGACTTTTTGTCCGGTATAAAACCTATTGTAAGCGAGACACGAATATGTGAAATATTACAGTTAAACAGTAATCGTATATTACTTAAAAATTAAAACAACGAGAGAAAAAAACCAGTATACAAAACACAGAGACAATGTTTTAAATCTTTTAGTTTGTTATAGTAGGCAAATTCACTCTTATATTAACACGAACAACATAAAATCCGTTCTACCGAATAAAAAGTAGACATTATTTTTTTTAATTTTCATTTTTAACATTAGCCGTAATAATATATATTCGGTAGAATTCGAACTTGGAACGCTAAAAAAAAAATCATGACGTTATATCACGACTTTTTATTTCTTAACTCAAAAAAACCCTACAATTTTGAATAATTTTAAACATAGATACCTACATAACTCAAAAATATTCTCTGTTGCCAGGTCTCTGCGATCATTGACACAAAAACCGAATTGATTTCGACAAAACCCGGCCATATGTATGCGTAAATGTTCTCGTTTATATCGCAATCAAACCCCCCCCCACCCCCAATAACTTTACTTGTGAGCAAAGTAAACAAGGAATATAGAAAAGGGCCTACCAGACAAAATTTAGGTACAACCAGAAACCTGTTCGCTCCGAATCGTTTTTCGTCAGCAATGGTGTATCGTTGAGTACCTGTAGATATAAATTTAGCCCCCCTGTGTATCCTATCTTTCCAGCTTCTCGACTGCAACAGTGAGGTCACCTACCCTATTGTGCAAAGTATGTCCGTCTCTTTTTCTTTTTTTTTATTTTAGTGTTTTATTTCGGTAATTTTTGTATAAATCGTATAAATTTCCCTAAACGCATTGTGAACCGCACGAAAAAAAAAAATACCAATTAAATACTCGACGGCACTGGATGTTAAAACAACATAGTAATAAACTCTCGAAAAAATACCCGCGAACACCACTGACGATGTTCGTAGTAAAATATCGACACGTTCTCCGCTCCGCTCAGAACGTACAATAATTATCGACGTGTTCTTTACGCGCGTTCCGTCGTAATTCGACCGTCTCGTTAGCTATAGGCATATTATAGTACAACATTTATTCATTTCGAACATTTTTTTTTTTTTTTTTTTTTTTTTTATTACATTTTCGGTTTCTTGTTATTTTACAATACGAAACACGTATTACAATACTGTACAGTGTATTATATTACGCTACATTTTAACGCGCCGGAGTTAGTTTTTCCCAATTATTTACCGCGAATCGTGTAACACGATGTTATACACGGATAATTTAAGAATATCGCAAATAGTATTATGTTTATTTCGGTAGAATTTAACGAAATAACGTTTATGCTGTCACGAGCGAAAGTAAAGAAACGATTTTAAACGCCGGCGGACCGCGTTCGAAAATATGTTTGTTTACCGATTCATTTTGCTTTCGGTCGTGTAATGGAGTGTCGCACACCCAAAGTGATTGTGTACGGCCAAATCGTACACTATAAATCAGTAAATTCGGTATTAACATTGTTAACGACGATGGAAATATAACGTGTCTGTCGTCATCGCACCCGGTCTAAACGTGTGCCGGGGTTTATTATCTGCATCTGAATCTATGTCTGTGTCTAACCGTTTAAAACGATCGAAACCGCGGTTTCGTGTTTCGCGGTTACCGAATTAACCGGTTATATCAGACAATTTACACGAACGAATAGGCCGAAAACGTAATCATCACGATATTCCGTATGACTTTGAGAACGATAAAGACGTATTGAAAACACAATGGTTTTTCGTAGTCGAAGAAAAAAACTATGCGTTTTTAGCGAATTATTAATAAATTCAAATTTAAAATTTTACAAAATTACTCTTTTTTTTTTTTTACGATTTTTATGTAAATTTTGATATATTGTGTTAGCCAAAACATTCACTTTGGTTGAAGAAATGATAGCAGTATTCAGGGTGTTCAACGATGACAATATAATTATTGCGATATCCTGGAAAGTATACAAACTTTTTTCTTAATTTTTTT